TGCGCAGCGCGCGCTCGGCTCGGCGACGGCGGCGGCGAGGCCCGCGGGCCCCGACTCGGTCCCTCGGAGCGCTGCCCGAGCTTGGACAGACAAACTCTCCGTAGAAACGGGCCGGGGGCGACGGGACCCGTCAGTGGGGGACTCCCCGACTACAAGGGACCCGATTGTGCAGCCGAGGCCCCCAGGTCGGAAGGAATGTCTGCTTGATCGGAATTGATTTTTTCTCCCCTGCCCGAGGAGCTCTAAAGCCTAGTCCCTCTCCCTTAGGGAGGGGGTATGAGGTCAGCCTTCTCGGACCCCAAACACACACAGTCAGGGTCTTGGCTCCCCAGTTGCAGTCTGCACCACTACTCCCGGCCCCCCTGGACCGGAGACCGCTAGGACCATGTCCCTGAAGCCAGCTCTGCGAAGAGAGGCGAAGGGAGAGAGGAGGGAGAGAGGATTCCCGGCGGCTTAGTCTTCCCTTCCCCAGATGCCAAAGGGTCCATCAGGGAGATCATCCTGCCCAAGGGCCTGGACCTGGACCGGCCCAAGAGGACGCGCACGTCCTTCACCGCGGAGCAGCTCTACCGGCTAGAGATGGAGTTCCAGCGCTGCCAGTACGTGGTGGGCCGAGAGAGGACCGAGCTTGCTCGCCAGCTCAATCTCTCCGAGACCCAGGTACACGGAGGCTGGGCCTCCCTCCCCACATCCCTACCCTCAGCGGCTTTTCCTCCTCACCACCTGCCCAGACTGGTGGGTGGGCACAACCTCCTGGGACGGGCAGACGCATTGGGGAGAAAGGCCTAAGGCTTTGTCTTCTGTCATGAGCCATCTCTTCCCCAACACATCCCCAAATCTGCACCTCGGCCTGGCCCTGGTGACCCCAAAGTCTGTGTGGGTTTTTTTATTTGTTTGTTTGTTTTTTAAATTACTTTTGAATCCCAGTCTTGAGAATTCCCCTCTTGCTTCTTTCTACACAAAATTGATTTTTGTTTCAGTTTTGAGCACCCCATTTTGGCCATCTTTCCAGGCACAATACCTAGGCCCATTCTATAGGAAGTGGAGTTGGGGTCCAGATTCCCTGGTCTTAAATACTGTGGGTGACTCCTAGGGATTAGACAGGTACACACCTGTAGATCTACCAGTACAGCGCACTTGCCCCGCCCCTGAGGTCCTCCCAATTCCCAGCCTTGAGCACCACCCTGGGCACCTGGGGGTCCCTGTCCTCTCTGCCAGTGATACCTAAAGTATGGGGTGGGTAATAGATCTAGATCGAGGGTCCAGGTGACTGCTTTTAGGCCTTGCCTTCTACATTATTATTCTACTAGAGCTGACTAAAGGTCCAGGGCACTTTAGGACCTGAAATATTTGCCCTATGCCACCAGCTGGGCCCTGGTAAAGTAGCCTTCTTTCTGAAGATTAGCTCCATTCCCTTGGCCCAGGCTTGAGCAAAAGCTGAGGACTAAGAACAGAACGCCAGTGCACAGAATGTTGAAGTTTGAGTTGGTACTGTAGATTTTTAACTCTCTCTGCTACCATCCATCCTAATTTACAAAAGTCTAGACAGGATAACTTTTCTCTGTAGCAGCCAAATTCTCTTGGGTTATCGCCTAGATCTAAAGAGGACGTAGGGAGAAGAGAAAGTGAGTGACAAGGAGAACTTCATAGAGAGAATTTTGCCACAGCACTACCTCTCATGATTCCTAAATTTTGTTGTTGTTGTTTTAAAAACACTCATTTCATCTAGTGCATCCTGACTCATAGTCACCCTAGCGTTAGTGGGCCTAATTTTGGGGAGCAGTAGAATAATAGATTGTATCACTGAGACCTTCCAACCCAGCTGGCAGCTATGAAGAGAGGAGACAGATTGGCCTACAAGGTCCATCCTGCGGCATCCATCCCTTCTACAGTCGCCTGTTCTGGTTGATAGTCACATTGGACCCCAGCCAGCAGGAAACCATCCTTTGCAGCCTTCAACAGGAATAGAGTTTCTGGGGTTTGTACTTGAGCCCCCTGGACCAGCATCCTGGTACAGGAAGGCCTAGAAACACTTCTCACTAGCCACCCCCACTTCCTGCGTCCCAAACAGCATCCTCCAGGTCTCACGCCCTCTTTGGGAAACTGTCTCTCAGGTGGTGCTGATCCCCAAATTGGTGCGTCCCAAGTCAGGTTTAGAGTAGCCCTTCTGGTCTTCCTTTGAGTTAGAGTCATGGTCATTTTTATTACTTTGCTATTTGTAAGTAGCCCTGCCTCGGCCTGCTTCCACTGTTCAGAAAGGCTGCCCAATGGAGCCTTCAGTAGCTCCTGGACCTTGACCTCTCGGTTGCAGGGTGGGGCTGGGAAAGGGAAGGTGAATCCGCGAGTCCCGGAAGTCCAGCATCCCTGATGCCTGTCTCTCTTTGCCCCCTCTCTCTTGTCTCCTCTCTCGCACTTTCCCCACGCCTTGGCGCGCAGGTGAAGGTGTGGTTCCAGAATCGGCGCACGAAGCAGAAGAAGGACCAGGGCAAAGACTCAGAGCTGCGCTCAGTGGTGTCGGAGACGGCGGCCACGTGCAGCGTGCTGCGGCT